GCGCGCCCCACAGTTTGGGAACCTCTGGCTTAACCAATTCTGATTATGTTTGTCTTCAAAATCCTTGGATTTTCGCATTTTCCCATTCAAATGCTCAGAAGCCCAGCCGGTGAGGCAGCAGCGAGCTGAGCCTCACCTGGGATTGCGCAACCTCTCGCTAACTGCACTGGCTGCCATTCTATGGGGGCAAGTTCGTCCTGTCTGTATGCCGGTAATAAAATGGCTAAAAAACATTTAATATATGGACTGATTTTTCATAATTTAGCTTATTTATATAATGTACAGTGTTTTTTGTCACCAACTGTGTGTGTATCGTGTTTTGTGTGCAGAGGAGCGATCATAAACGGCAGAGAACAGACTCGAGGTGAGGCAGACAGTTTTCTTGCCTCATGACAGGGGGCGCTCATGATCCCAGATATTGTGACTGCACAACTGTAGAGTAACTGTAGAGTAAGACACAGTGAGCTAGCCATGGAGCTAGCCATACAGTAAATAAGTAAAGTACAGCGATATATTTGTTTTCTCCTCTCTTCCGACGTAAACATGAAAGATTTCATTTCTACACTTAAACAGTTTTCTAAAGTGGATTTTCAGTTGAATCAGGAGATAATAACTAAAGGAAGACCAACACCGGAACTGAAAGTTTTGCTTCGAGACAGTTTGATGATTCTTAAACGTAGTAGAAAAGACATGCCAAGGATAGACTTGGCTTTGGATGAACGGATATTTTTGTGCAGAATTAGCGGTGCATGGATTTCATTGATAAGTAAAGGTAAGACAGCAATAAGATGTTTTTTTTAATGAAATGGGCGTTTTGTGGGCAGTTTGTATGTCTAAATAATTCTGTAAAGTAGAAGCGGTAGCTAATCTACCACAGCAGTTATTTATTAATTAAACATTAAGCCTAAAACATACTACAACAACAGACTTGAATGTTCTGTTCTGTGTGCAAAATTCTTGAATGTGTTTTGGTGTTAAATCCTAAAACATTAAGTGGCATTGTTGTCAGTTGCTATGGCAACGAGTCTGCGTGCAGCGTGGCGAATGCCTCTTTCCCTTTGTCGTGGATCGTAGCACGAAATTAATACCTACATTTCTAAGTTTCACTGAGTTAACGCGGCTATGGATGACATGTAACAGATTATTCTTTTTGCCCCCCCAGCGTTGTATGCCTGCGCGAAATTTCCATACGTCCAATAACATCCATAGTGTATAAGTCGTAAGTCAGTGCCTCACCAGCAATGAATCTCACCACATGTCACTGATCTGTTGCTATATATCTGTGCATTTCTCAGTGTATTGTGAAACTGTCTTTTTGGTTAACACCTCACCCAGGTCATGGCAAAGTCCAGCAATCTGCACACAAAGGACGTCCCTCTCATCAATTCTGAGTTTTTGCTGCTTCTCTTTGAGAGTCTGGAGAAGTTCTCCAGCCAAGTACGCCACCCTGTACCAGAACAACAACAAAAAATCTCATACAAAATAAATAAAAAAGGGAACTGATGTGAACTTTCAACAGACAACTAATGTTAGCTCTAAACTACCACAGTAATTAGACATTTATAAAGTTATTTTGAGAAGCACTGACATACTTTTGCAAGACACTGTGTAAGTATTTCCCTCTTAAAGGCTTTAAGTTAAAGCCATTATCTTAAGTTAATTAACAGTAATTATGTGCAATAAATACAGACATTTACCCAATGCTGTGTTCAAAGCGGTTGTGGGACGCTCCAGGATAAACGTAATATACTCCGCCAAGCTGCTTGATGTTTCGAAGTCGCTGAAACTGAGGCGTATCGATGATCTTGACAAGGATTGGGTGCAGCTCGATATTGCCATGGATGGGATCATTGAACACCTGAAAACCAGGTAAAGAATCATGTCAGTGTCACTAATTTAAGAAAAGGACCAAAATAATTAATATCTATGTGAAACCAAGAGGACAGAATCTTGAGTGATAACTTTGTCCAAAAAATCCAAACTAATGAGAAAAGAGATGAATGAAAAATCTTATTTACTCTTTAATAACTCTTAAAAACACAGAATATGACAAAGTAGAGTCGCAAAAATAGACTTTTTAAATTGACAAGGAAAAAGAAAAAAAAATTATCAGGGTAAGTAGTGTGATTCAGATTTTATATGTAAAACTCATTTAACAATTAATCTTAATAAAGTCCTCCTTTGTACGAATGGTCATATTCTTTCTTTACTTTGTAGCACATATGGTGTATTTTAAAGAGTATAATTATGCAGTGTTTTGTAACCCACCAAGTTATTTTCACCACTTTTGTTGCATAGGAGAACACAGAGGAACAGAGAATTATGTCTCCCTCTAGTGGACACATGTCAAACTAAAGTCCCAGGAGCCAAATCCGGCTGTTCACAAGTTTTTCCTTAACAGTTCGAGATAATAGTTGTGTGCTTAGATGTTATTTTGCTAATAAAATTAAAGTAATTTTTGTCTCTATACTGTCAAACTACATCAGAGTAAAAATATTAATATTTTAACAGTTTGTTATAAGGTAATTTCATCAAAGCTTTCTCCCACAACCAGCCCTTTGAGGATATTTGAAGACATTTATGAACAAAGTGAAAATGGGTTTTTCACACCTGGTCCAGTGGAAACAGTTTTACCTTATTTTTGTTTTCCATTATTTCTGAAACAGTGTCTGCCATTGTTTCTGAGATTTTGTAGGATCAGCATATGGTCACCAGGACTCTTGAAATTAATGATCAAATGATTAATGCCAAGATGCTGCAAAGAAGGAAAAGATTAAAATAAAGACAGACATTCTAGTATGAAACAGATAAAATAGCATTTATTATATCATGTTATGTTAACATGACTGCTTTTAAAGCAAATGCCAAACACAATGAATATATATATTTTTTCTCTTACTCATTGCAATATTACCAACGCAGCAAGGAAACTTCAGAGTCACATCAGAATCCTCAGAATCAAAATGCCAACCTGCTTCTCTCGCAGCAGCAGTTTATATTGGCAGCTAGAGTGTCTCCTCCTCCAGGGCGGATACACCCTAGTGAGAAGGGCGAGGTTATCTTCTGACGTACAAGAGGAACACATACAAAAGCACCGCCTCCAAATAGATTAATGTCCTTTAGACAATAATACCTAATGCCTCTCAGCAGGACTGACACTTGTAAAACAGGAGTTTATAAATGTGTAAATTTATTTATTAATTTCTAAATAAAAGAAGTGACTGTTTTTCTCTCCATTTTTTAATTACAAGGAACAATTGACTAGATAGTAGGCTGATAATTAAGGTAAAAAAACCAAAAAACAAATCTGTGCTAACTTAAAAGCTATGTCTACTTCTGGAAAATGTATCCTAAATTTGATCAACTACAATTTTTACCATACAGGTCATTTCTCAAAATTGGATTAGATCTTTCTAAATTATCATCAGAATATAAATCGGAAAACACCTTCAACCTCTCAGCGCTGTCTGAGCTGATCAGAGTCTGTACATGCTGCTCGAGAAAACCTGCAATTCCTGACTGAAAAAATATATAAAACAAGCATCAATTAAAAATCTCGTAGGTAAACATTTATACAGAATTGCATTGAATTTTTCATACAAGCAGCATCTACTTCACAACACTAAACCAAACACTGTGGTGCGTTATGCTGATTTGCGTGCTTGGTCGCATGAACACGCAATGCTCCACATCTCTTGCACAGATTAGAAGATGGAGTGAGTTATGATCAAAGAGGCACCATGAATGAAATAAAAAGGTATTTCTTTTGGTAGATAAAATAAGAAAAGAAAAAAAGAGTAGGGTTTGGACATCTAAAACCGTTTGAGTCAACATGTTTTTTCTTCTACAATTACCTTTATCCTGGCTTTTTCTACCAGAGCATTGAATGATATCCAAATGGTTTAAACAAGCAGTTAAACACTGATATGGGTCATATCAGACAACGTGCACACAAAAGCTTAGCCAAAGTGCAATTCAGAGAGACTAACTGAAGTGCCAGTCATGTTTTTGGGCTGTTGGAGAATAATAGAGAACCCTGTGAGAGTTACCTGAAAATCCATACATGCATGGCAAGAATATGCAAACTCTATGCAGAAGGATCCCAGGCCAGGATTTGATTCTTGGTGCTCCTTCCTGCAAGGCAACTGTGTTACCAGTGCCTCCACTGTGCAGCTAATCCTAAAAAACTAAAGCTACTTCTGCAACAATTATTCAGAAGAACAGAGAATAGTTTTTTTTCTTTTCAAACTAGAACTGTTTTTTGTTTCTCTTTCATTTTTTCTTTACATTTTGCAAATTAATTAGATCATCTAATAGGAAAAGGGATTTAAATATAAATGCCTGCTGTACATGTAGAAAAACTTTGCTATGTAACATAAAAAAGCAGATTTGAGAAAAGTATAGCCTAAAAATAAAAAAATAAGTTGGGTTTAGGGGGAAAAGAAAAATCAAATGGAACAGGAACTGGTCCTTCAAACTGTCATCATTTGTTGTCTCAGTTATGTTACCAATTCAGTTCAAATGATATTTAAGTCCTGGCTGGAATATTGTGATTTTCCGTTTAAAATCTCCTTACAGCTGGTAAAATAAGTGCCACTGACAAATTTCCATCAGGGTCAGCAGAATTCGAACAAATCTATACGTATAAATAAATCATAGCAAATTAGTCCACAGGTGAAGCCATGTGTAAGAAAACAAATGGTTTAGAATTATCTGCAGAGAATTTGGAGAAGCCAGTGAAATAATGGGAGAATAACATTCCGTTTATTGAGGGCAAACATGAAGTCTCTGGATGTCACTGTAAACACCAACTTTAGAGTAAGAATAATAGGACATCTCACAAAAAACATCATGCCAAAAATTATGTTTGTTGGTGTGAAAATCATGGTTTGATTTACTATGAAGTATCGTTTTCAATTTCATCCATAATTTTATTTGTGAAATTATGAGCTCTGATTATTTGTATCTGTGAATTTCTTGGATTACATCTGTAGTGAGTTTTATTTCTTTTGCCCCATTAAAAAGAGTTAAATTAAGAACAATGAAGTGTTCAATACTTAGTTTGCTAGCTTTATTTGTTTGGGAGTAAATGTACAAACATTTATCATTTATGCAACTTTGAGAAAATGTGTTTACCTTTTTATTTTAATTCCTCCATTGCCTCTTAAATATAATAGTGTCTGAAGTACAAGCATATGCAGTATCAAACTATGGGCAACACATTGTTTCAATCATCCAAACCAACAATGGAAACCTTGATGATAAGAATGAAAAATATCTGAACACATCCATTACTGAACGTGAGATAGTACAACAGCTGATGCTTCTTTGTTGTTTTTGATCACAAAACAAACTCATGCCAAGAATGAAACAGGTTCATCACATCATTGACTGTTGCAGCCATTTAAATCCAGATCAACTTGATCTCATTATGTGGTCAATGGATTCCTGTAGTAAAGGAACTCGACACGAAGACTTATTTACTCATCACTGCCAGAAGCAGTGATTTGGAAGGGTTTCATTTAAAATGGTTGTATCTACCTCTCCATACTTTGAATGAATTTCGATCTATAGCTGTTTAGCTGGGTGTGCTAAAGTATGTTAAAATTTATTATACTAAAGTATACTTTTATTTTTTACTAGGGTTGAGTTACTGAAATCCATTAACTTTTCAACATTATGATTGATTGAATATGAATGTATATGCCAATTCAAACATTACAGAACTACTCTATAGAAATTTTGTTTTGAATAAAAAGGTATTTTATGTTTTTGTCCTGATCAAAATATTAGAAAAGGCCAAATGTTCTTATGTTTACAGTAGACTTAACTGGCCTGTCTAATGCTTTTAAGTGCGTTATGTTTTTTAAATATGGACAATGAAGATGTACAACGAATAAAACTATCTACCAATCAGCAGAAGATTTAGTTTAAAACAGAAGTGAGGTGGATATGTTTTACTTCTCCTGTACAGCTGCAAAGCAGAATAAATGAGACACCAACTGCAATGATGGAAAGACCAATTTTATTTTACTTTGACTGCAATATCTGTATTTTAGAGTTCATCAAACATGTACAATTAAGTACTTTATTGAAAGAGTGTGAAGTTATGAAATATTCCAATAAAAAGTATAGGGAAGGGAATAAAATCCAAGTAATCTTTCATCTTTATATTATTGATTATGCCATTAAGCCACAAAATCAAATAAAAGTCATAAAATAAACTGTCATTCAACTGAGTATGTGCTAATAATCAGTAATCAATGTACATAATTGAAGCCTCTCATTGGTGTCTATGGAAAACAACAGAGCTGCAACTTTTATGTCTCCAATTTATGTCATTGTTAGATTTAAGTATTATGCCCTCTTTTGTTTAACAAAATAAAGCAATTTAAACAGAACTTTCTTCAATCTTTGAAAAGATGTTACCTTCACCACTATGGAAATCAAATTAAATAAACAAGAAATTTGTGAATTGTTTGTGAAAACATATTTTAGTAAAGTATGGTATTTTTAAAGTACTACCCTAAAATACAGTTGTAATATTAAAAGTACATAAAACATTAAAATAAAATAAAAAATAAAGTACAAACACATTGCAGCCAAATCTCAAAGAAAACTAAACTACAAGGGAAAATAAGCCAAGTCTGAAACTAATGATAAAAATAAATAAAAACTTTAAATGTTGCAGCGATAAGTAAAGATTATCCTGAAACCCACCATCTGCAAATTGAAGAACAATATGAGCCTCCCATGTATATAATATGGGATCGTTTCTTACATTTCAGAACTTAACCTTAAAATAAAACTAAATAAAGCCCAACTAAATAGATAATTTAAATATGTTTTTAATATGTAAAACTTTATTTCTTATAACAAAAACCTCCAAATAGGAATCAAAGCATTCTAATATTAACCCTTATTATGAACCCTTTCCTTCTCCTTATAGGTATATTTAAATTGTGCTGATAAACACCTGTTCTTAATAAAAAAAAATAAAAAAAATTAAATCAGAGTTTAACAAAAAACCTTCTCCAAATGATTCATATAGGGTTGTTTCTGCACTTACTCTAAAAAACAAGTTTATTTCATATAACTTTATAATTGCTGCCCCAGCTGGATTATGGAAGAGACTCTTCAGAAGCTGCCACATCTTCATTCTGCAGAATATCATAAAAGATAGATGCTTGTTAAGAGAGTTCAGACCACACACAATAATAACAGAAGCATCATTGCAAACATTTACACTGCAGTAGAGATAAAATCTGACATATTGTGTTTTTTGGACACTAAAACAATTAATCTTTCAAAACACCTAAAGCTGAATACATTTTTTAAAATTTTAAAGGAATACAATGGTTTATAAAATTGCAGGATCTACTCATTCAACTAAAGCAGAAACAATTTCTGTCACAACATATTTACCAATTAAATATAATTGTTGCTTTCAAATGCAGCAGAAAGAAATACCTAAGAAATACCTGGAAATTTGTCGTGTGTGGACTTAAATTTCTTAAATTGCTGCTTGCCAGCCTCCGGATCATTTGTCCTTTTGCAGTAGAATCTGATTATTGTCTCTTCAAATTTTGCTGGAAGAAGGTTAGATACCTAAAAAAAGAGTGTCAAGAACACATACTGCATTACATGGAGCAAATGAAATAAGAGCAGGAGTGGTTTTAATATAAATTCACTAAATTGTGAGCAACAGTATGAATGGAAAGAAACAGAATAAGTATATAAAAAGTAAAAAAATGTGAATTATGTCATTTGTTTGATTCTTACATCATCTCTTTTAAGTTCTTCGGCTTTATCTGGATCGTCTTTTTGGTAGAAACGCACATCCTCTATTGGGTCTTTATCCTGCTTCCCATAGTCTAATTTAATTTCCTAAAATAAATAAATAAATAAATAAATAAATAAATAAATACAAACAATAAAGTTCACAAAAATCAAGATAGTGGCTGAATTACAAAAAATTAAATTTATAGAAGAATTTTAACATAATTACATTTGTTGATGTTTAGGTAGTACATTAAAACTTACATGAACCACAAAGTCCTCTGGCTGCAGGTGTTGAGTGTCACCCTGTTGGTTGATTTTTTTCATTTTTTTTTCCCATTCTGCCTCGATTTTCTTTTTTGAAAGAAAGAAATTAAAGATTCAACATAAGGTCTGATCAGATTCCAAATTCCTCCATCTTGACACCAACAACATGAAGCTTGACTGATTTATATTTCTAAATCTGTTACAAAATTGTTTTAAAAAATTAAACCTTAGGTACTGAGGCTGAAGCACTATGAAGACTAATTCAGTCTTTAAAGTCTGGATTAGGAGACAGGTGGACCAGTATTATTAATATTTTCCCCAAATCCTTCATGTAAGTAACTAATTTAAAATAAATCATCCACCAAAATTAAAGAGATTACAGAGCGATCAGAAACAACTTTAATAATTAATTTATTTACATATTGGTTTTTTAACCGTATTTATTTAGTGTGAATTTGTGTACAGTAACTTGAATCTTTACATATTTTTTTATTTATCAGTATTTCTGTGATAATAATTAAAATAAATATATGTTATTTAGATTTCATATTGTGCAGTGCAAGAAATAAAACTGTAACAAGTAGCTGAAAAGCTTGCTTATTATTCACACATTACCTATCTTTAATAAACAACATCAGGTTTACAGTTAAATAAACACTAACCTTAATTTCTTTGGAGGATTTGTTTGAGTGAAATTCCCCCCAACACCTGTAGAGATCCCGTTTAAGGACTCTGTCCAGTATCTCCTTTCCCTTTTTAATGTCTCGATCAGCAGAAAGGTGGTTTAGTATCTTCTTTACTTTTTCAATGTCTGCATCAGTAGATATGTGCTCCAGTATTTTCTTTATCTGTTCAATGACTTCACCAGTAGGAGGGTGCTCCAGTATCTTCTTTGCCTTTTCAGCATCTGCATCAGTAAAAAAGTACTCCAGTATCTTCTTTGCCTTTTCAGCATCTGCAGACAGGTGCTTCAGTATCCTCTTTACCTTTTCAATGGCTGCATCAGTAGACAGGTGCTTCAGTATCATCTTTACTTTTTCAGTGTCTGCATCAGTATACAGGTGTTCCAGTATCTTTGCCTCTTCAGTGGCTGCATCGGTATACTGGTCTTGCAATATCTTCTTTACCTTTTTAAAGGCAGTATCAATAGACAGGTGGTGCAGTATGCTGTCTACGTCTTTAAAGTCGTTATCAGTAGACAGGTGTTCCAGTATCTTCTTTGCCTCTTCAAAGGCTGCATCAGTACGCTTGCGTTCCAGTCTCTTTTCTACCTCTTTAAAGCCCTCATCAGTAGACAGATGTTGTAGTATCTTTTTAATGGCTGTATCAGCAGACTGGAGTTCTTGTATCTCCTCTACTGTTTCAGGACCCACATAAGGAGCTAGGTAGGCAAGTATGGCATTTAACTTTTTAACAAGGTGGTCCAGTATCGTCTTTACATAATCAAAGCCCACATCAGTAGACAGGTGGCCCAGTATCTTCTTTAGCTCTTCAATGGCTGCATCAGTATACTGGTGGTCCAGTATCTTCTTCACCTCTTTAAAGCACACACCAGCAGACAGGTGGTCCAGTATCTTCTTTAGCTCTTTAAAGCCTGCATAAGTAGAGAGGTGTTCCAATATCTTCTTTATCTTTTCAATGGCTGCATCAGTAGACAGGTGGTCCAGTATCTCATTTGCCTTTTCAATGGCTGCATCAGCAGACTGGTGTTCCAGTTTCTTCTTTGAATCTTTTTTTCCCTCATCAGTAGATAGGAAGTCTAGTATCTTCTTTATGTCTCTAAAGTCTGGATTAGTAGGCAGATTGACCAGTATCATCTTTAGATTTTCAATGGCTACAGCAGTAGACAAGGTGTCCAGAATATTCTTTGCCTCTTCAAACCCCGCATCAGTAGACAGATGGACCAGTGTCTTCTCTAATGCTTTAAAGCCCACACCAGTAGACAGGTGGTCCAGTATTTTCTTTGCCTCTTCATTGGGTTCTTCAGTAGATGAATTGTTCAGTATCTTCTTAGTTTCTTCGATATCTGCTTTAGTACACAGGTGTTCCAGAATCTTTTTTGCTTCTTCAATGCCCGCATCAGACGGGTGGTTCAGTATCTGTTCAAATACATTATCTACAGGGAAGCCAGGAAATAAATAAAACATATTTTATTATCTAGTTACATAAGTATAAAGACAAATTAATTTACACTGGGTAATTTATTCACACCATCAGAACATGCAACCATTTTCTTCCGCTTTTCTGGAGTCAGGTCGCAGGGGTAGCACTCTAAGTATGGAGGCCCAGACTTCCCTCTCCTCAGCCACTTGGGCCAGCTCCTCCAGGGGAATCCTAAGCTGTTCTCAGATCAGCCGAAAAAATATAGTCCATACACAGTGGCGCAAAAAGTGGGTATGCACCGCATGCAACGTATAGGGGTGCAGCACCAGAGGGGGCGCCAAAACCCCGTCTGGAGGGTGCCGATTATGTTTTCCCATACACTTCAGCACGCCTTAATGAGGTAAATCTAGTGCGAGTTTCACACTCAAGGTGTCCTCGCCTCGGGGGGGGGGGGGGGGTTTAATTTTTTGCATTTCCCCGATTAATTAGCACGTGCGCCACTGTCCCTACAGCCTGAACACCCTCTAGAGAAAACTAATTTGGGCCGTGTGTATCCGTGATCTCGTTCTTTCGGTCATGGCCCAAAGCTCATGATTATAGATCAGAGAAGGAACTTAGATTGACCAGTTAAATCAAGAGCTTCACTTTTTGACCCAGCTCTTTCTTCACCATAACAGACTGGTACAGTGCCCACCTCACTGCAGATGCTGCACCAATCCACCTATCAATCTCCCGCTTCTTTTATCCGTCATTCATGAACAGATCCCAAGATACTTAAACTCCTCCACTTGAGGCAGGGCGTCTTCCCCAACCTGAAAAAGCCACTCTACCCTTTTCCAGCTCAAGTCTATGGCCTCAGATTTGGAGGCACTGGTCCCATCCTGGCCGCTTCACACTTGGCTCTGAACCACTCCAACAAAAGCTGTAGATCACGACCTGATGAAGCCAGTAGGACCACATTGTGTGCAAAAAGCAAAGACACGATCCTAAGGCCACCAAAATGGATCCCCTCAACAACTTAACTGCATCTAGAAATTCTCTTCATAAAAGTAATGAACAGAATCATTGACAAAGGACAGCCTTAGCAGATTCCAACTCTCACCAGAAAAGAGCCCGACTTACTGCCAGCAAAGTAGACCGGACTTTGACACCAGACATACAGGGACAGCCCGTGTCAATGGGCGTGGTACCTCATACTCCATCTGTAGTTGGAGCACACTCTGTGGTTCTCCTTTTTGAATAGGGGGACCACCACCCCAGTCTGCCAATCCAGGAGACTGGGGTGGCACGCAATGTTACAGAGCTGCATGAACCAACACAACCCGACAACATCCAGAGCATTAAGGAACTCCTGGCAAATCTCATCCACCCCCGGCACCTTTCCACCGAGGAGCTCTTTAACCACCTTGGTGACCTTATCCCCAGAGATAGGAGAGCCCAACCCAAAGTCCCCAGGCTCTGCTTCCTCAATGGAAGACATGTCGGTGGGATTGAGGAAGTATTCTACCCACTGGCTCATGAGATCTTGAGTCGAGGTCAGCGGCACAACATTCGCACTATAAACAATGTTGGTGCTGTACAGCTTCCCTCTCCTGAGATGTCAGACGGTGGACCAGAATCACCTAAAAGCCGTGCAAAAGTCTTTCTCCATGGCTTCTCCAAACTCCTCCCATGTCTAAATTTTTGCCTAAGCAACCACTCGAGCCACATACCGCATGGCTTCATGGTACTCATCTGCTGTTTCAGGGGTCCAACAAGCCGAAAGCCCCAATAGGACTCCTTCTTCAGCCTGAAAGCATCCCTCACTGAAGGTGTCCACCAGCGGGTTTGAGGGTTGCCGCCATGAGAGGTACCGACAATCTTGTGGCCACAGTTCCAATAAGCTGCGTCGACAATGGAGGTGTGGAACATGGTCCACTCAGACTCAATGTCCCTCACCCTTTGAATGTGTTCAAAGTTCTATGACATATAGGAATAAATTCAGAAGAAATAGCACAAGCTATTGATGGAATAAATATAATGGGATAAACTGCTGACACTTCTACTAGACATGTTGATAGTAATTTATAAAAGGCAGTCTTTCACTCTACATGAAGCAGGGACTAATTATTCTACTGCTAAAGCCAGGTATACTCCCAAATAAATGTGAAAACCGGAGAACTATCAATTTACCCAACTCTATCTCAAATTTATCAGCAAAATTCTGGCAACACAATTGGAAAAATGCCACCAGACATAATAAACTAGGATCAGAATGGGTTAATCGTTGGGAGGAAACAATGGCAATATTGGAAGTATCCTGAATATTATTTGATCCAAAAAGAATGTTTCCTTCTGGACTAAATAATTTCATCCTTTTATTGGACGAAGAAAACAATCTCTAAGATTAAATGGCCTTATCAATTATACAATTGAAACCATATATTTACATACACTAACTAAAAAGATACATGGACATTTTGTTGAAGTTAAATCAGACCAAACTTGTTTTAGCTTAGTTAGAATTATCAAAAATATTTACATTTGTTAATTGGCAGGAAACTTAGTGATAACATGTTTTAGAGATGTTTTTTTTTTTTTTTTTTTAACTTTCTTTGAATTTAAATGTTTTACATTTGATCAGTATCAGTATCAAATATAATTGTCTTTTAAACTGTATGACTATTTTGGGTTTACTTCCACAAGTTTCTTGCAACAGTTTGATGGAGTCCTGGCCCATTCCTCCTGACACAACTGGAGGAACTGAATCCATTTTAAAGTCCACTCCAGATTTCAGATCTTCCCACTTCTTATGACTCGTGTCTCGTGATGGCATCTATTTTATGAAGTGCACTGGTTCCTCCTGCAGCAAACCAGCACTACAACATGATACTGCCACCCCCATACTTCGCAGTTAGGATGCCACAAGCATCCACATTCTTACTCCAAATGTTCATTGTGTCATATATGCTTCAAGGTCATTATGGCCAAACAGTTCCACTTTAGTTTCATCAGACCATGGGACATGTCTCCAAAAAGTAAGATCTTTGTCACTGTGTGCATTTGCAAACTGCAATCTGTCTTTTTATGTTTCTTTGGAAGTAATGGCTTCTTCCTCATTGGATGGCCTCTCAGTCCGTGTCGGTACAGGAGAGTTTCATTGTGGATAATGACACTGTCTCACCAGCTTCAACCAGCGTCCACACTAGGTCTTTGTCTTTTGTTCTGGGGGTCAATCTCTACATTTTGGAATGAAGTCCATGAAGTTTGTTCAGTTTATTCACTCACACAATTAACAAATTCCATGATGAACTTAAAACACATTGTTTTACCACGCATAACACAGATCATTACTGGAAAATAACAGTGAGTGAATCAGGTCTCCCAAGAAGGTGGAAAATACAATTCCATCCATTCATTTCTAGGACAGAGAACCTGTCTCCTTCTTGAGCAATAAGATAGTTGGAAATTCTTATTATGTATATAATTGTATGAACAGATTAACGAGGCACCTTCAAACATTGGTAAACTGTTCCCAAGGATGAACTACACTAGTGTAGCTGCACAATTCTTATCCTGGTATTTTGGCTGATTTCTTTTGACTGTCTTATCACGTCAAACTAGAAAGCAGTGTGTTTCAGGCGTGGCCTTAAAATATATCCACAGGTGTTCTTCTAATTAACTCAAATGTGTTAGAGGTTTGTTGAAGGAAACCCAAGTAATACAGTTTAAAAGACAGTTATCTCTGATACTGACCAATGTGTGTAAACTTTTGAACTGAAGGAAAATTATAACAAAATCTCTAAAGAATGTTCTCACTAAGTTTTCTCGCATCTAACAAATTACATAATAATCAAACAGAAGAAATTGTGTCAAACAAGAATGTCCACTCCCTCTCCTTTTATTCACATTACTAGTTATATTTATTTTATTTTAATTTAATTTTTCATTTTGTTTTTCATTTTTTCTATTTTCTATTATTTGGGTTAGTTGTAGATCTAAAATGGGCTTGTAGTTTTATGTCACAGTCATGTGATTATAAAAGAAGAATATTGAGAATGGTACATGATGTATTTTCAAAATGTACAATCTCAGTGAAAATACACTGTGGAAAAAATGTTGATGTAGTGTTAAGATAACTTAAGTAAAATGTCTGCCTACCTCTGCAAACAGGGTTGAGGAAAATAGGGGTAAAAACTTAGATCAAAATAGTTCTGCTAATGTTATATTTGCTTTAAATTTATCCAGTAAGTGAAGGTGTTAAAAATATATGTTCAAAATGGTATTGATATAAATAATACAATATAATTAAATTATGAGTGCTAAGGTTGGTTTTAGTCCCATATACATTATAGACCCCAAAAGAAGCATTTATTTCTTAATCTTAAGTTTTTTCTCTTTGATTTTATACAGTTGAAATAAAAAATACATATCTATGTTGGTCTTAAAAATCCATATTTAATCAAACGTTTTTCTAAAGTATTGTGAATGTTTCCTCACCTGTCAGCTTAGTGTATGCCACCATGTCATCAATAGCTGTGGAGAGAGTGAACATCTTTCCATCCTTGCCTTCAATCTTGATGTGTTTATCTGCTTTCAGAAAAGCGTCTGTGATCCTGAAGGAAAAAGCCAGCTTATAATTGTGAGAACAAAGAGAATAAGACAAAAGTGATAAAACACAAACAGCGGTCTCTAATCTACAGGAATGTCAGGGGCTCCTTACATCCACTCTATGCTGTTGGCCACTTTGTGCTGGCATGCTCTTTTGTGCAAACAGAACCTTGTGTAGAACATGTTGTAGAGATTGAACCCCTCCTGTTAACAATGATAACATTTAGTGGCTAACTTTGGAATTTTGGAATTTTATGTTGATGGGAAGGAAAAATAATGTAACAAATCAAACCTTGTCTCTGTAACAGATCTGCATCTCCTCATCCACTTCACACACTCTGGCAAATTTAATCAGGCGATGGCAGTCAAAATTGTTCTTCATACCCAAGTGATGGAAATCCCTGATGTATGTCAAGAAAAAACTTGCTTAAAAATGTGTTAGGAATTTTTTTTATTTGGGCATATAAACCCACCTGGCAAAATAATCCCACTTATCCACATCAATCTTGTTCCTTTTGTTGGACACAACTTCATAGAGGAAGGCCTTCTCTCTGGGTCGGCCATGGTGTGGCCACTGTTAAAAAGAACACAGAATTGGAGACAAGAACTAATATTTTAAGTTATGTTTCTGATTCCACAGACAGAAACTAGAAACTGAAAGAAGTAAAAATTAACCTTTGTCAAAAGCACATTAATGATTTTTGACACAATGCGGTTAATCCCTTCTGTTGATTTATTTAACCTTTATTGATCCAGGTAAACTGTTTTGACAACCACTTCTCACTTCCCTTCTAAAAAAGTGCCCTCTCTAATTTATCTAAGTTTCTATATCAGTGATTGCAAAATTTATTATCAATGCATTCATGACATTCAAAGATGGTAATAACATTTGGTACTGCAACATATTATACCAGACTAACCAAGACCAAGTCGACGACTATATTCATAGATTTCAAAAGCTGTACAAATGGGTACCTCAATTGTTTTAACATTCGGAGGATCAATCAGCTCCTTTATAAAGGGAAGGTCCTCTTTCGGCACCAGGCCGTGGTCCTCCATGAATTTGTTCAACTCATTTTCTTCCACTAGATGGTCAAACATGTCTTGAGATGCCTTCTCATGCTGCAAGGCACATACAATTAGTTATTCAAAAAGACACAGGCACATTTCAAAAATAAAAGAAACATATTCTGAATAAATCAGAATAAAGAGGAAGCAGCAGTATGTAACTTTCACAAAAATATGTTGTTTTTTTTTACATAATTCTTAAAACTGTCACCATATCATGATAGTATACTGAGTCAGATAATCTGTGAAAAGATCAAACTCCTCCACTTCCTCCTAGTGTTACTATTACTATTATGATCTGAAGAAATGCACAGCTTTCAGCAAAAGAACCCCAACAAATTAGAGCTAGAAGGAGTGTCATAGCACTGTCTAACATACTATTTTTAATGATCATATGTAAATTAAAATTTTCTAAGACATTGATTTTTGGGTTTTCTTTATCTGCAAGACAAATCACAAAAATTACCAGAAATTAAGGGTCGAATATCCTACTGTCAGTGTAACGAATACACAAATATGACTTTCACTTTCCGAAATGAGGGACACGTAATATTGATCTTTCTAATGAAATTGACATTCTTTTTACATGTATCCATAATGCATTGCACCTGTTTTATTTGGTCTGTTAAGGTACATGCCGGAACAGCACCAAAAACATTTTTGTTAATCTAGCTGTTCAAAACACTGGATTAGGGGATGTCATATTCCTTACAAACTAGGTAGTCAACATAAAATCTTGTCATCTTTAAAGCAGTACAAAAATAACTTTCTTAATCAAACTCCAATTCCAAGAATGGAGGAAAAACATAAGCTTTCTTATTCTTAAATCAGTCTGAAAAAATAAATGAAGCAGTAATTCAGAATGGGTCAAAATAATTTCTTACACTCCAGTCATATCCAGGACGTGCTTTAGGTATAAACATTTGATCAAACATGTGGGAAAACGGTCCATGTCCTGGAAAGAGAGAAACAGAGTAAATGGGGTCAGAAGTCTGACTCGAAATGAAAATAAAATTTCTGAAATTAGTATCTTTCATTCTGGAAACCAGTGATCCACTAATCCGTTTTTATCCTAAAAAGGATGAGTTTAAAACTCAGTTGTGGTTTTGTCTGAAGTAAAGATTCTATTTTGAAACAGATATAGCAGTAAATAATAAAATTGTAATAAAAAAATATCACCATATTATTTTATCAATTTTTTTCAAAGTCAAAAGACTTATTTTATAAAATAAATGCTGATTTCATCTGAATTATTTATTTTTTGTCTGTATTGATTTGGAAGTAGATTTTGAACAAGTGGAATACGTCCTTTGCCAAACCATATAGTGTAAAATGACAATAGTCAAAAGGAGCAACAAACATAATTCATTTCCTCATTTGAGGCAAGGAAGTAGATTGTGAAGAAGTAGAATATTGTGAAACTGTGTTTTTGTTTAAAACCTCACCCAGGTCATGGCAAAGTCCAGCTATCTGCACACAAAGGACGTCCCTCTCATCAATTCTGAGTTTTTGCTGCTTCTTTTTGAGAGTCTGAAGAAGTTCTCCAGCCAAGTGCGCCACCCTGTACCAGAACAACAGAAAAAAAAGAAAAAAAATCTCATACTAAATAAATATAAGGAATTGACATGAACATTTAACAGACAATTAATGTTGCCTCTAAACCACCACTTCCTTAAACATTTATAATTGGTTATGAGAAGCACTTTGCAAGGCACTGTTTAAGTATTTCTCTCTTTACGCCACTACCTTAAGTTAATTAACAGCAATTATGTGCAATAAATACAGACATTTACCCAATGCTGTGTTCAAAGCGGTTGTGAGAGGCTCCAGGATAAACGTAATACGTCCCTCCAAGCTGCTTGATGTTTCGAAGTCGCTGAAACTGAGGCGTATCGATGATCTTGACAAGGACTGGGTGCAGCTCCAGACTCCCATGAACGGAATCTTTGAACACCTGACAACCAGGTAAAGAATCAGGTCAAAATCACTATCTAAAGAAAAGGACCAAGAATAATTCATATATGTGTCAAACCAACAGGACAGAAACTTGAGTGATAACTTTGTTAAAAAATCCTAACTTGTTCAATATTTATTTTCCATTCTGTAATGAGAATTTTTAATAAATCTTAAAAGCACAGGATGTGACAAAGTAGAGACACAAAACTAGACTTTTAAAATTGAAAAAAAAAAAAATTTATCTCTGGGTAAGTAGTGTGATTCAGATTTTACATATAAAGCTGATCTAACAATTTATTAGTCTTAATAAAGTCCTCCTTTACGAATGGTCATATTCTTTCTTTACTTTGTATCACTTATGGTCTATTTCAAACAGTATAATTATGCAGTGTTTTGTAACCCACCATGTTATTTTCACCACTTTTGCTGCATAGGAATTGTGAACACAGAGGAACAGAGAGTTATGTCTCCCTTTAGTGGACACATGTCAAACTAAAGTCCCAGGGGCCAAATCTGGTTGGTCACAAGTTTTCAAACAGCTGACTATAAAAGTTATGTGCTTAAAATGTTAATTTAATTAAAGCAGTTTTTATGTTGTATCCTGCCAAATTACATCAGTGTAAAAATATGTTCAATATGATTTAATTTTAAGCACTGAGCAATTTATTAATATTTTAACAACTTGCTAATGGATAATTTCATCAAAGCATTCTTCCACAACCAGCCCTTTGAGGACATTTGTGATTATGTGGCACGAAATGAAAATGAGTTTTTCCACACCTGCTCCAGTAGAAACAGTTTTACCTTAGTTTTGTCTGCCATTGTTTCTGAATCATTGTCTGCCATTGTTTCTGAATCATTGTCTGCCATTGTTTCAGAGGTTTTGTAGGATCAGCAGATGGTCAGCAAAACTCTTGAAATGAAGGATCAGATGACTGATGACAAGATGCTGTAAAGAAGGAAAATATTAAAACAAAGACAGACATTCTAGTGTGAAACAGATAACATAGCATTTATTAATATCCTTTCTTTGAACATGACTATTTTTAAAAAAAATTATCTTTTTTTTTTTTTTTTTTTTTTGTTTTTTTTTTGTTACTCAATGCAATATTACCAGCGCAGCAAGGAAACTTCAGAGTCACGTCAGGATCTTCAGAATCAAAATGCCAACCTGCTTCTATCACAGCAGCAATTTATATAGCTAGAGTGTATCCTCCTTCAGGGCAGGGTTATGTTCTGCTATATTTGAATTCCAAAAAAGAAACTGCTTAAATGAAACTTATGTTAGCACAGAGCGGTTGCTTGTGATTTTGAAGGCGAAGATCCTGCCAAGTCAGCAGGATAAATATAACAAGAACATTAAATTAAGAACATTGATGTGTTCAGTACTCAGTTTACTAGCTTTATTTACTTGCCAGTAAATGTACAAACATCTATCATTTATGCAACTTTGAGAACATTTGTTTACATCTTTTATTTCAATTGCTCTCATGCCTCTTAAGATGCTTGCCATACAAACACATGGAGTTTCATATATGGACAACACCTTGTTTCAAACATCCAGATCAACAATGGAAACCAACAAGTAAACACCAAGAATGAAAAATACCTGAACACACCCGTTACTGAACGTGAGATAGAAGCATCAGCTGATGCTTCTTTTTTGTTTTTGATCATCTGAAACAAAACAAACTCATGCCAAGAATAAAACAGGTTCATCACACCATTGACTTTTGCAGCCATTTAAATCCAGATCAACTTGATCTCATTATGTGGTCAATGGATTCCTGTAGTAAAGGAACTCGACACGAAGACTTATTTACTCATCACTGCCAGAAACGGTGATTTGGAAGGGTTTTGTTTCAAAATGTTGTATCTACCTCTCCATACTTTGAATGAATTTCACTGTATAGCCGCATATTAATTGGCTCCATTTGTCTTGTAAAGTGAATCAGTCACCAAGAATTCACCTGTTTCTCTGCGGGGTTTAGCATAAGTTATGTAAAACAATCAGACAAAACAACTTGTGTCTTTCATCTTTAGCTTCAGATGACTTCATAGTATCCTCTCAATTTAAACAATTGTGAAACAGGATGACTTCTGAACAACTTATTTCAACAGAATTTTTTCAAACCTTCACCAGGGTTACATTCAAAAACCACAGCAACCAACATTGAGATTTTTTCTCTTTTTCAAACTTTCATTCCTGCCTTTTCAGAGAAAAATTGCTTTTCTGGACAACTGTTCCTTCTTGTTTGGATACTGTGCAGTTGGACTGATTTTGGGCAAAATTTTTTATCTTTTTACTATTTTTGTTATGATGCGTAACCATAGCAACAGGGTGGTTTACAACAGGGAGCAGCTGATTAACATTGGAAAAGCTGAAATAATACCATAGCTTAAGCCAGAAATCCCGAGAAAATTATGTTTGTGACTTGATAATGCTAAATACTGAGTTTGAATTGAGAATGGAACATTTCTAAGTGATAACGCTGGTTAAAATTAAGAGAAACACACAAAAAAGTTGTGCTGTTACAAAACATAACAGGGATTTTTCAGAGCATTTCTAAACTTTTGAATCACATCGTTGGAATCATAATCCAGAAGTGGGAAGAACATAATCTCATATTAATCTGGTTACAACCAGGTGCCTGTTGTCCAGTTTCTCAAAGAGAAGCCAAATAAATAATCAAATGAATGGGCTCTTTGCACCTCAGCTTCCGCATTCGGGGAAAAACGGCTTGATTGTTTCCGATCCAATAAAAATATCATTTTACACTAGGGCTTGGCCAAGGTTTGTACATCGATCCGAAGCCCCAACAAGTAAGCTGGAGAAAGGTTTTAGATGTTTGCCTCGTTATACATTCAGTGATACGAAGGTGAGTTTTACTTAAACTTTGTGGCTAACATTAACCTTAGCTTATGCTAGTAGGCAATATTCTCGGACACATTGCAAAATGTGCTATTTAAGTATCTAAACATTCTAACGGACAATGTTTTTACCTAATTTTCAAGTATATTATGTGTGTTTATTGTCGTTAGTGTCACAGACTAACGGGGAGGTTACGGTTCGGACTTTTTACTTCCGAAGCCTGATGAAGCACAACAAGCCTCATAGCTTAACAGTAGCGCAGCTCTGGTGTCAGAGATCTGGTTCCGCTGACCGTTCAGGTTAAAAGTTGCTGCTTTTAGAAAATATGACCGTGTCTTTTAAGGTCTGCGTGTTATTTCGTTTTATTATCTTTGCATGTTTCTTGTGAAGAGCTCAGATAGGACGGTGTTTACAGCAGTATGTTCAGGCGGATCAGTTGCTCGACTGTCTGGCTCTGGTCTGCTCTCTCGTTCCCATAAACTCTTTTAGGCAGAATATAGAAGTGACTCCATGGAAATAACTCAGGGAGGCTCCTTTATTTACCATCCGTACCCCGGTATTTTTAGGCTGATACGGAGTGAAGTGAAGGCTGCAAACTTTGTGTTGTGCAGCGTTAGCTTTAACTGGTAGTGGCAAATATTTACAAACCACCATCTTCTAAATTCAGGATCGCTTGGAAATTAATGAAAACTTAAAAGCCCATTATATTAGGAAGACAACAATATTCATAGTATTGCGTTTTTTGCATCTGAAATATGACTTAGCTACCAGTCATGGTAACTCAAAGCGGAAACAAGTGAGCCGCATTAGCTCCTGGAGATGTGACGTCAATGCCGTAGGTGCAAAGAGCCCATTGTCCAAGAACCAGGAAACACAAGAAAACAGTAAACAATCCATTCAACAACAATGGCCTCTATGTACATGCACTGTGTATGACTACTGAAGAAAAGGCGTTTTGGAGCTGGTTTAGTTTTCTGCAGAGAATTTGGAGAAGCCAGTGAAAGAA